AATCTTGAAGGCTCATAGAGTAGCTTTTCATTTAATAAATGTTTGTTGGGCACCTTTTTTGTGCTAGGCACTGTTCTGGATACTGAGGGCACAGAGGTGAACAAAACAGATAAGCCTCCCTCCCCCAGTCTTCTGGGGGCGGGGAAGACAGGTGACTAGGCGATTAATTATCCAATGATAAAGCCTCTTCAGATAGGGATGCGTGCCAAGAATACGCCATGACGAGTAGAGGGACACAGTAAAGAGGTGATCAGGGAAAGCTTCTCAGAGGAGGTGACATTTAGAGGATGAAGGATCATATAAGAATGTTCATGGAGGAGGCTCAGAATGACATCAGATTAGATCTATATTAAGGTCGAATGCTGGAAGCAATAAATAAAAATCTACATCATGCCCAAGGAGCGTGTGAATTGGATGAAGTTTCTCTTATGCAAAATTCAACCCATTTTGGGTTCTGTGACTCATGGTTCCTTCCTGCACCGCTTCACTGATCATGTTCTTTTCTCAAGGCCACCCAGCTAAACGTTTCCCTTGCTCCAGCCTCGCTGGCTTTCTTCTCTGTGCGGTTGTGCTCAAGAATTTTGCAGTTAGGACATCCAAGAGTTCCATTGGTGCCCTGGGCTGCGCTGGGGCTGAGTGAGAGATGATGTGAATAGAAACGTCCTGCAGTCCTGTGAGAGAGACGGGGCTGCAAGGACTAGAGAGGTCCTCCCCACCCCCACCCCACCAGCCCCTGGTATAGCACATTTGCAACATTTAGGATGAAAACAGAAACTTCCTCTTGTCCTCTGGTTATGCAGATTCTTCTTTCAATAACTTACTAAAAACAAAAGCAGATTGACCCACCCGCCCTGAAACATGTTTAAATTTAAACTTTATGTCTCTATTTTTAAAGGTAATACAATGAAATTGTCCTAAACTAAAAAGAACCAACAAAGTACACAATGCAAATCACCCATTCTTGACTTCTGAGACAACTGGTGATAGCAGTTTCATGAGTATTTTGCAGAGAGAGTTCATATATATCTACAAGCAAAAGGGGAGAAATAGTCTCTCATCTGTTAAACACAGAACATACTAAACATGCATTTATTAGATATTTATCTACATAAATTATATTTATATGTGTGTACATAATTAATATAATGTGAAATATAATAGATGATACATAAAGAGCTTTCTAATTATCTTATGGCTAAATAGTATTCCATTGTTCATACTATAATTTGGACATTTAGGTTGTTTCAGGTTTTTGTTTATAACACAATATGCTGGAGTAATTACATGTCACTTCACATATATATGAGGAGCTGCGGGGTCCAAGGACATATGCTTTATAATTTTGATAGATAATGCCATATTGCCTTCAAAGGGGCCTACTTCCACCATGGATGAAACATGCCTGTTTATACCCGGCATCTATAGTTAGTGGGACATGCTTCCATTCAAGCCATGCTTAGTAATTTGTTCTGAAAACTGACTGGTAAACCCTGGCACACACTACCTACCCCTTGGAACTTTTTAAAAATGCAAGAAAAAAAGCTTCCCTGTCCTAACTCAGAGTTTTAGAATGTTCATGCCTCGTCTCCAAGGTATCAAGTAAATCAGTGTTGCATCAAACTAGATCTTTCCGACTACCTTTCTGCATCCAGTGTACCACAAGAGCAAATAATGTGATCCCCCAATAAAAACTGCAGTGCAGGGGCTGGGGATTTAGCTTAGCGGCACAGCACCTGCCTGGCAAGCGCAAGGTTGTGAGTTCAATTCCTGATTCCGGAAAAAAACAACAAAAAAACAAAAAAAAACAGCAAAAACTGCAGTGCAGCTCTTAATACATTGAAAATGGATGACTGGTGATGTTTCCTAAATTATGTCTTGGTTTCATCCCAACGTCTTTTATTATGTCTCTAAAAATGATCATTTGCTTACATAACTGTAATCATAATGCCTTTGCCACAGTTAACAGAGTTATCAGTAATTCCTTAGGTTTAGTTACTATCCATTCCATATAACTATGTTTCTGATTGACTCAGAAACATACTTATAAAATTGTTTTGTTCAAATTGGTATCTGAGCCACAGTTAGTTGTTCCATCTGTGTTATCTATAGTAGTTTCTCCTCCTTTACTTTATTTCCTGCCACTGACTTACTAAAAACTAAGTCTTTTGTCTTACATAATGTTGTACGTTATATATTTTTTGCTTCCTTATGGTGTCATTTATCTTGTTCCTCAACTCTTTCTGCTTCTTAACGCTAAGTGAAAGTTTAAGTAAATTACTAGCTAAAGACTTGGTTAGATTCAGTTCAACTTTATTGCCATTCTAAGAATGTGGCATAGATGATAACATCAAGTAGTGCTTCTAATATGATGGATTCGTGAAAAGAAGCCTTTCTTCTCTGGAGCCACACTTGGTTATATTTCAATCAATGTTTCTGAAAACTAGCTTCCTATTTTTCCTCTTCTAAAAAACCACATTCCAAAATGGGTATACCTTGAGACTATAATGATAAATGAAAGAAATCAGACATAGAAGTTTAAATATCACAAACTCAAAGTATAAACAAAGAGCAAAATAAAAGGTAGATAATAGGAAACAGAGAGGTAGACTTTTGCAGATGGGAAGAGGATCCATGGATGGTGGAGGAAGGGAGGAAGGAGAGAGGAAGGAGAAGTAAAAAAACTAAGAGCAATACGTATACATACCAGCTCCCCATGGTGAATGTATCATTGTGCATTGCAAACATATACTTATAAAAACATTTAAAATAATTTTTAAAAAACAACCACTTCCCGAAAACAGATCAGCAGTTTGAATACAAGATGAGTAATAGAGTTTATAAATTAGAGATGGTAAGTCCTGGCAAGCCCATAGCAGTGCCTGTCCCTGGACTCTCTCCACTTACAGTTTTCTGAAAGATAGCACTGTCCAAAAGAACTTTCTGTGCTGACAGAATTGTTCTGTATCTGCACTCTCCAATACGGTAGCCACCAGCGCTAGATGGCTCGTGACCTTTGCTATCTGGCTATGTGACTGAGGAATTGAATTTTGAACTGAAGTAGCCATACATGGTTAGTGGCCACTGTACTGGATAGCACAGCTATAAAGTCATTTTAAAATGAGCCACAGACCTTTTTCTGCTCCTTTGGGAACTAGTTGCTTCTGTTTAAAAAAGGGATTTTTTTAAGAAGTCATATTTAATCTATTCGGTTAGTGACATTGAGTTTTGCAAAGCTGCTACTGAATTTGATGAGCAGTTGGGGGATTAGTTACACTGAATCTACCTGGGCTTGACTAAGTAGGTGATGGAACAAAGTCACTGATCCCAGGACCGGAGGCCAACAGGGGGTGAGAGCAAGGAGGTAAACAGTGTCCCTGTGTGCCCATAGCAAAACAACAAATACCCACTCAGCAGCAGGATATGTAGAGATAGGCGTATTATCAACCAGTGGGCACATGAAAGTGTAACTGTGTCAGGAAGGAGTCTCGGGTGCCAGTGTTTCTTTTTTCAAGCCATGTGCCCACAGGGAAGAAAATGTGAGCATGGATGTGTTCAAACTGACAAAATCTTGACACCTTCACTTTTCAAAGATTTGTATTAGATGAAGGAATAAATGCAGAGATAATGAAAGCAAGTCCTCTACTCCGAAGGAGCTTGCAGTCTATTCATAGGTTATTGCCTGTTGAGTGCTGATTATGTACTAAGCATTTTCCATAATTCTTGTGATTCTTGCAGAACCTATTAATAAGGAAGGCGTTATTAGCCCTATTTTAGAGAGGAGGAAATCGAGGCCGGGGGGTTTAAGTAAATTACTAGTTCAAGGTAGCATAGCTATCTAAAAGTGGAGCCGGGGTACAAACTCAAACCCATGCCACTGCTGCATTTCCCCAGGATGATGGTGTTCAGACCAGGATTGAGACCCCACCTTCTCACCAGGTCACTCCTGTCTAATGCCTTGCTCCTGGCTCTCCTGCTGCCTCATGCCCAGACCTCTCCCCTCCTTCCTTTGGAGGCCCCTGGCCTCATCCCACTTTAAGGCCTTGGTCCTGGCAGGGCCTCGTGCAAGAGCGCATTTCATCCAGATATGTAAATCGCTCACTATTTTTACCCCCTGCAAGTTTCTAAATACTAGAAACTAAATGTGTCGCTTTTTCAATAAGGCCTACACTGAGCGTGCGTTCTCCATCCCCTTACCCCACTTTATTTTGACCTGTATCTCTTATCACCTAATGTACTTCATAATTTACTCTTTCGTTAATTGGCTGCCACCACTCCCTACATATACATATACATATGCACACATACATGTTCTCAAATGTAAGTTCCGTGAGGGCAGGATCTCTCTCTCTGTCCTGTTTCATTCAGTCATTTCCCAATCCCCTGGAACAGCACCTGATACTAGACAGTGCCTGTCCGGTAGATGTTGTTGATTGAAGATGACTGATACTCAAGTGTCCAATTTAAAGCCACTGAACACTGAGTCATATCTGCTCATATTTTATATGTAAACACATACCTACTTGGCTGTACCTGTTCAGCTGTCTGCGTTACTTTAACATGCATGACTCTGTATAATCAGATAGGAAAACTAGAGTAACCCATGCAAGTATATGTCAAGGAGCTACTGCCTTTAGATTCAAGATCACTCTCAGCACAACACTAATGAAACTGTCACTTGTGGCTTCTGATGGGGCCAAATGTGGTCAGAAATTGTGGACAATAAGCTTCCATAAAAGAGAATACTGACCCAGCCTCGAAGGGTGGCTTTTCGCTAGTGTTTGGTGATGTTTTTCCCCTGCAAAAGCAGATATACTGTGCTTTTTATGCCAGTCATGGTGTGGACTGAGATACAAGGGGATGACTGAGGAATGTAGTACCTTACCCACAATATGTAGTAAATAAGAAAGGGTGTGATTAAGTGACACATTTGCCACCATGCTATTCAAAATACTTAATAGAAATTGTATTTCTCTTTCTGCAAAAAAAAAATATATATATAGGTTATTCTTGGTGAGAATTTGACTTCAAATTGTCCAGAGGTTATCTATGAAATTAAAGAAGAAACACCTGTTTTCTACAAACTTGTTCCTGACCCCAGGAAGAATAACTACATCTATCTAACAGCTGGGAAAGAGGTAGGTAGAAATATTAGTTATTGCTTCTGACTTATAAATAAAAATTATTTAATTGATGTCATTATCTAGTGGCAAAGCTTTTACTTTGGACTACCGAGTTTTAACTCCGCTGCAGGCTTCAGGAAGACCCAGAGTGGTTCACAGGCATGGAATTAAAGACCTTCCTGCCTGTCAGTAAGTAAGCAAGAAATATTACCTATTTAGACAATTTTATTATTGGCCATATTTCCAGTGCTGAGTTTTTCAGAGGAGGAGGGTGTGCTTGCAAATGGGCGCATAATCAGCAAGGTAACTGAATTTACACATTTACTATGTGGGCGCCGAATGGCTAGATGCATTTATGAATATACCCAGTGGGACTGGCTTTGGAATTGGGGGTTAATATCAGGCCACAGTCTCATCCACATTCATGAACCGGGGAATACATGGCACTCACCCCGCTTCTCTTGATTTATCTGTCTGTTTTAATGCAGTTATTTGTGTGTTTGCTCTTTTTTGTGTACTGAAATAACAACAATACCTTTTAAATTTTTCTTCATCTTTACAAAGTGCTCTCACCCAGAGAAGGAGAAAGGACACTAATTTTTATTGAGTCCCTACTGACTCTGCTACTCATTCTTTGCTCTCTCTCTGGATACTCAGCGCTGTATATACACACACAAAGCACACTAGAGACAGCCAATGAAATGTGTTAATAATTTAATGAGATAATGTTATCTTTGTTTTACATGTGGAGAACCTAAGACTTGGAGAGACGATAAATACTTACCTCAAGCATATGCACATAATGTATGCATTAGTTTCCATGCGAGCTGGGACCCAGACCCTGCCCTAATCCTAAAACCCACGATAAATGAGATCAGATCCTGGATTTATGAAAATTAAAGAGAACATTTTGGCTCCGTGCCTTTGACTTATGACCATTTCATCACATCAAAGTGCAAGGGAGATAATTGAGACTTCGAAAATCATATAGTGGCTGTAACAGATGCTCTCGGCCCACCCCATTTTTCATTTTTTCCTTTGCATCATTCTAAGAGCAGCAGTGACAACAAACACTGGCCACATGCTCCCTGGGCCACAGAGCAGGAGTGCAGGCTGTGGTGGTTTCCGGTGTTCTGAGGAAGGCTGGATGGCTCTTTGCGTGTTGAAAAGTCAGTTAGGTCAAAGGAACCACTGAGATGACCACATCTCACTCTCCCACAGTTTTGTAAATCAGTTCTTCACCAGAGTCTTCTGTGCTGGCTTTTTTCACCATTTCACCACCCAATCACTTTTTATTATGTTTCTTCCCAAGGGAACTCATTTTTGAACGATTTTGTCCATTCAACAAACTATGTATATTAAGTAACCATTCCAATTCCCAGGCTTTCTTTATCCAGGACATCTCAAAACTGCCAGCCAGAGTACTGATTGTGCTACCACGCATAGCTGATAAAATTCCAACTCCCAAAGCAAAGACACTGGAAGTCTGGCTTAATCTGATTGTGTTTTTCCATGTAGCTGTTTTAAATATTGCAGAGTAGCTCATAAATGCCCATTACTACCATCATGCACATTAACAGAACCCCAAATCCCAGGACTCTAGGCTGGAAACGACTGTGAAAACCACCAGTGATGGACAGGTCCTCCGTTTCTGGAAGGTAAAGAATTCTAGCCTGCAGTCACTCAAAGCCTGAAGCCCTGGCTCGGGTTTTCAATGGGGCATCAAAATTGTTCATCCCCATGCGCATTATTTGGGCTTACTGCTGGAGAGCCTATTAGTTGGCTCTTGTTGAACAAGTATAACCCCTAGAGAGCCAAAGCCAAGGAGGTTCCCTTTGCTGTACTCTTGGGAAATCATAATAGCCAAACTAAAAAGCCGTAGGAAATTCATGAAATAGTATAACATGAGCACAGTAAACACAATCATGTGGAGGTATATGCGTCAATGGAGAGTAGTCACTATAGTGTGTTACTAACCTAGACAGCCAGTCCAGTGTAGTGTTTGGGTCTTCTCTTTTACATCAAGTTGTATTTGTGCTTTCAATGCATTGAGTAGTTGTTCTCAAAGAATGTTCTGGGGACGCCTTCCACTAAGTGTTGTGAGCAGAAGTGGTCCTAGGATCAGTCGTTATTTACTGTGCCGCTCTGTAGGGCCCAGCATATTCAAACGCTCGCCCAAGCTTATGCTAAGGAAACCTATTTAACATTTTCAGTCTCAGGTTTCACATTCGTTAGACCGTGGAACCCTTTCCTCACATAATAGCAATAGCCAATATTTATGACACACGTTATTTAGTATGTGTCAGACAGTGTTCGTAATAACCTCATGAAGTCAGTTATACCACCACCATTTTACAGATGAGGAAACAAGGTTAGAGAGATTACGTGACGCTTATTAAAATCCCTCAGAATTAGAAGGATGTTTTGTGAGCTACAAGGAAATAAATATCCACATTCTGGTTAATTCTGGCTTAGACTCGTGGTCTGCCGGCTGCATCTGTCAGAGGCATCAGGGACTGAGGAACGGAGGGACACAGTTATCCTCCGTGAAGTCACCTTAGAAGCGAAGCATCCTCCTCAGGATCTCCCATTTTTCTCACAAACCCCTTGCAGAACTCTCTGTTTCTCTCACCTCCTTAAGGAGTCGCTTATATCCTTGAGCACGTACAGCCTCCCAGAGTAATGGGTTCCGTAAGTTTCCTCACCACTTGCCGTGTGATTTTCCTTCAGAAAAGGTAACATGCAGAAACTCAGGTTCTCCTTGGCTCCCGCTGTCGTAGTGGTGCCCAACTAGGCCACTCTGGCCTGCTGCTTCTTTACCATGGAGGGGCAGAAGAGGGCGGGGGAGGTGATTAAAACACTTTCCTTGCCTCTGTTATTTTCACATCCAGGGGAAGCAAACAAGGCAGGAGCCGAGGAAGCGGTGCTTCCCTGACAGGGCTGAGGGAGGCTGATCCTGGCCTCTTCCTTTCCACACCCACTGCCAACTCCTGCTGACCCCCTCCGGGGCAGAGCCATTTGTTATTCCCAAATGCTCACTTGCACAGTGCCACTGACTGTCCCCGTGCGCAAACCAGGTGACCCGATTCCATGAGCCCTGTGGAAATCATTATTCACAGAGCAGAAAGCCATCTGTAGGTCAGGTTCACTGCAGAGAGCTCTTAACAGTGCAGATTCCTAGGTCTCGCCCCAGACTTGGCAAGCATCTCAGCCAAAGGGGAGTCTGGGAATACAGTCATCCCTTAGCGTCCTTGTGGATTGCTTCCGGGAACCCCCAGGGTACCCAAATCCATGGATGCTGAAGCCCTTCGCAAGTTTTCATATAAACTAAGCACATCTTCCCGTATACTTTAAATCTTTAGATTACAGATAATGCCTAGTGCAGTGTCCGTGCTATGTAAATAGTAGTCATGCTGTATTGTTTGGGGAATAATGAGAAGGAAAAATGTACCGAACATGGACAGATATGACTTTTTTCAAATACTTTTGATCTGCTTGACTTTCCGGGTGCAGAATCTGTGCATTGGAAGGGCCAGCTTTCAAAAGCTCCCCAGGCTATCGTCACACAACCACTTCCTGTCCTAGAACTGGAGACCTGCCGCCTGATGCCATTGTGGAGACATTTAGAGTTCAAGTTGATAAATATACTCCTTGTGGCCCTTCATCAGATAAGGTGGTGTCATTTTCTCTGCTGTTGCTTATAATTCTATCTGAGCCACTGTCGTCTTTATTTTTAGGTGAGGAGAATTCTTGTTGCGAACTGCAGTAAACATAAATCCTGTGTGGAGTGCTTAACAGCGGCAGACCCTCACTGTGGTTGGTGCCACTTGCAACAAAGGTATTTCCTGAATTCTTTCTCACATTTTGAGAAAGTGTCATGCGGCAGAACACTTGTTGCCCTCCTTTAAAGATCCATTCGGGTGAGATGGGGAGGAGGGCGGAGGGGCTGTCTCTTCCAGGACTGCAATATTGGGATGTAACCCTCGTTCCTCCCCCAAGGTGTTTCCAGCTGGGTCAGTGTTACCAAGTCGTTTGACCTGGGCCACTCAGAGCCACCCCACCTGGGGGCGGGATGGGAGTGGGCATGGGACATGAAAGGGGAAAGGGCAGAGCAGGCAGATTTGCTTTTACTTTCTACAGAGTTCCCCAAGACTCAAGAGAAAGGCTAAAGGGTCTCCCTCGGAGAAGAAAAAAGAATAGGAATGTTTGAAAATTTTCAAATGAATCCTCATCATGTTGTGTATGCTATTCGCTCGGTGGAAGCCTTATTATTGATGGCGCTGTCTCCTCGTGCGCCGTTCGGCTGCGGGCCTGATGTACAATTGCGGTCTCCGGGCAGAATCTGCCCAGCCTGGTCTTGAATTACGATGTACACGACCCATCTAGGCTCAGGGGCGACTTGTAGCGGCTTCCTCACCATGGCAGTTCTTAGCGTTTGCTGGGACCAGGCTGCTTGGATTCGCTGTTGCCATGGCAACCCAGTACTCGGGTTCTTGCTATAGAAGCAAGGAGGAGAGAGCCTTAGCTGCAGCTCAGGCAGGAAAGGGAGGGAAAAAAAAATAAACCACATAGCAGTGTCTGTCAGTTCGGTGCTTTCAGTTTTTAAAGGTGAAAAAGGATAAGAAAGAGGAAAGCAGGTAGAGAGATGCTAAAGGCTGCAGGAGGGGGCAGTAGGGCAAAGAAGCCAGGACTAGGTAGAGGGCTGGGCAGCTTATGCAGGAGAAACACAGGGGAAATGAAGGGAGTGGGGTGCATATAACAGAAGAAAGAGGTTCAGGAAACAAACTAGAAATATGGGGATGGAATTAATTAAGAGTGCATGGAGGAAGTCACAAGCCAAGCTTCTGCAAGACAAGAAATGGCCCTTGTCTTTTGCTGCACCTCCTTGCTGGGCTGCTTCTGCACTGGCAGACAAAAGAATCAAGCCCAGGAAAATTCTCATGAATAATTGTAATTGGGTAGGAATCTTTTCTTCTCGTCGCTTGCCCAAGACAGGAGTTTTAGAAATTGACTGATAATAACCAGTATCTTATCATTGCACTCCCACCAAGCAGTCTTGCCATAATCTTTGAGATGTGTGTCGCTTCTCTGTCTGTATCTGTCTAGCCGCATGGAGGAGTTAATTCAGTGAGGGTGGTTATGAGGGCAGTGAGGAAATGACCACTTAGTGGGTACTGTTTCAGCAAGCTCAGATCTAGAGCTGATGGGAGACATCCAATCTGGTGATGGGAATTTGGGAGTCCTGTTTAGATGATACTTATAGAAGCCTTAGGCTCAGACCAGGGAGGGAGTACGGACTCAAGTTTAAAAGCTGAGCTTTGAGGGACTGCAGTGTTTAGGGGTCAGGGAGAAGGAAGGGAAGCAGAGAAAGAAATAAAGAGGGATCAGGAAGAAAGGGAAGAGGGAAAGGCTGAGGGGGTGGGCCTCCTGCAAGCTAAGGGAAAGGAGGAGGAAGTGACCCGCTGTGCCAGCCCCTGCGGAGAGGTCAAAAGGACAGTGAATCCATTGGACTTAGCGGGTGATGATTGGTGACGGCACAAGACAACAGGAAGAGAGGAGGACAGTTAGCACGGATAACTCCTTCGAGGAGCTTTATTGAGAAAAGCAGCAGAAAAAAAAAATGGAGCAGATGCTGAAGGAGAAAGTGGAGTTCAAAGAGTTTGAGTTTTGTAAGATCCACAAAATAATCATGCGTTTCTGTGCCGTTGGCAGAATTCCAGTAGGGAGGGAGCAGATGATGTTGCAGGAAAGAGGAGAGAGAGCTGTGGAATGTTATCTCTCAGCAGATGACCTAGTGGGCCAGCCACAAATAGGAGCCCGGACAGCTCCTCCCTGTGATAAGGGGTAGGGGGAAGCCCGGGCCCGGGCCAGGTAGGTGAAGAAGCAACTGCAGTGTCTTTTCTTACTGTTTCCATCACCTTCACCGACTTTAGAACAGTGAGAGCTGGGAGGAGGCACTGGAGAGAAGAGAGGGCAGGAAAGAAATAGGAGATGGGGCAGAGAAAAGAGCAGGAAAATATAGCATGGTTGCCAAGCAACTTTAGGGCCCACTTGAGCTTGGTGGTCCTGCTTTCAAAGTAGAGCAAGTAGCATGGTTTTGCTTTCTTCATGCTACTTCAGCTCTGGCGCCATAGTCCTAGCGCAGAGGGGAGTTCAGTTAAGCCAGAGTTGGGGGGTGAATATATGGAGAGACTAGGACTCTGAGGGTACACGCATTGCTAATGTTGATGTGGACACCTGGTATTATGGCTTGTGTAGGATGTCCCCTCAAAGCTTCACGAAGTCATAGGTGGGGCTTTTTCAGAGGTGGCTGGATCTAAAGTATGTGATGCTGGGATTGATTCATGGTCCAATGCTAGGTTTAAGGGCGCTGGGATCAAGGCTGGGAATGCTACCCACCCTGAGCAGCCTGAATACAATAAAAAGGGGCAGAAAGACGCTGTTAAGGTCCCTTATTTACTTTATAACCTTCTGGGAGCCATGAACTGGTTCTACTCTGTGATGTCCCTCTGCCATGCCACCCTGCCATGGAGCCAGCTGATTATGGACTGAAATCTTTACAAACTGTGAGCTAAATGAACCTTTCCTCCTTTCACTTTGTGTGTTGGGTATTTTGTTGCAGCAAAGAGAGAAAAGTAACAAACAGCCGGGCACTCGGGAGGGAAGCAAGTGGTTGGAGGAGGGGGATGTGAAAAGGTGGTAGGATCACAGGCTGTGGTTGGAGAACTGGAAAGGGTTGGGTGACAGTTGAAGTCATGGAGCAGTGGGGTTACTGATGATGGTAAAATCTAGAGGATAATTGTGTCTCTGAAGTAGGGCGGGGAGACAAGATCACTGGCAGAGAAGGGTCCAGGAGCTGAGGTGGTGGCCAGAATATTCAGTGGATCGCTCGTCTGTGTGGAAATTGCAATCACCCAGAAGGAGAATGGGCGAACACCCAGAATGAGTGTTGGAAAGAGTGAGGAGCTAAATAGCCAAGAAGTAAGGGACGTGGCCGGGGGCAGGCCTGGTCTGTAGGAGATCCCAGCGTGAAGAGGTGGTACCAGTGGATGGCACAAGCTCTAAAGCTGGGGTGTAGCTAGGAAGAGAAGATCGGCCAGGAGAGTGGTAGACACTCCAGTGGGACACCTATGATGAGGGAAGGAGAAAGCAGCCAGCCCTCCAGAAGGGCCAGAGAAGCCAGGGCCTCAGAGGAGAGCTGCTTCCGGTAAGGTCCAGGTGAGAACCTGAGGACCTCTGGCTGTTTCTGGTCACTGGCTGAGAATTCCAGCCTCTGTGAAAGCCTGCTTCTTGCTTCCCCTGCGTCAGCTTTTGCTCCCTTACCCCTACCCTAATCCCTTCCAAGAAGAGCAATAATTTAAAAACCAAAACAGTTCATGTCTCTCCACAGCTTCATGCCGCAGCTACTTTCCATCTTAGTGGAACTAAGAGTCTTTCCAACTCCTCAGGCAAGACTTGATGTGATCTGGTCCTTCTCTACTTCCCTGACCTCTCCTGCCACTGCCTCCTTTGGTCACTCTGTGCTAGCCACACTGACCCTCTTTCCAACTTGAGAATATGTAAAATGTGTTCCTGCCCCAAGGTTTCTGCCCCTGCTATTTCCTCGTTCCAGAATATTCTTCCCTGAGATCTTCTCACAGCTGGCTCTGCTTCGGCCATCTGGTCCTAGAACACACATTTATCTCCACCTGACCAACCAGTCTTAATTAGCCTCAATCCACTACTGTCTTCTTCGAGGCCCATCACTCTGACCTTATTTATTTCTCTACCTCTCCCTTTATTTTCAAATACAATGTGTGCAAAAAGCATTATATATGAGTGAGGCAGACTGAGAGATGGGTAGACTGTACCCATAGCTGGTTGAGACTTGTGCCTTAAAATGAGAAAGCACTGGAGCCAAGGGGTGATGGCCCTTCCCCGCCATATCAGATTACATGATTTCAGACGGGTTTGGTTCTGGCCCAAGATGAAATGCAACTTAGCCTCAGATCTGTGACTCATGTGAAGCTCCCAGTACCATTCAAAATTAGGAATTCTAAAGGGGGATGTTTTCTTACAACTCTAGAGCATCCCACTGTGTTTATTTTAAATGTCACAGATTTATTTAGAAAAAATAATTTATTTTCTCTTTTGAGAAGGTTGAACCTCCTTGTATACGTGTCCAGAAAGTGGATTTGGGGAGAAGGGGGCAAGAAAACTATCTTAACTTCCCTTTGATCGGGTGTTAAGAATAGGCATCCAGCATAGGCAGATAAAAAGCAATTAGATAAACAATGAGCTCTAAAAAGTCTAGTATTTTATTGTGGGAACCTCAAATCCAACCTGTGCTGGATTTGTGTGTGTGGGTGGAAAGTGCATTTTTGCAGGCTGAGTATCTTGGGTTTGGAAGCAGCTTCTCAGTCTCTCCCATATTGCAGAGCATAGCACATGTGTTCAGTTATGGATTTCCACAAAACTGGCAATCCCAAACCAATGAGCGGGTGAGGTTCCAGGAGTTCATTTGCAAGTTTGTTTGGCACGTGGAGCGCATTTTCCCATAGAAACAATGTCATAAATTAAAGATTGATTCCCAAGCCAGCCCACAAAATTCAACTTATTTAATTTCAACAAATATTTGTTGAATACTTACCAAGAGTCCCATGTGGGGATTGAGATAGCTTAGGTGCTGTTGAGAAAAATCAGATGGCATTCTTGGCTTTTAGGAATTCACATGCTAACTAGGGAAGTGGGCCTGTCAACGGCCGACGTTCGTTCATTCATTCATTCATTCATTCATTCATTCATTCATCTAATCACAGCTGTTTATCAGGCACCTAAGGTGTCCTAAGCCCTGTGCTC